GTGCCACTGTTGTAAAACGGGACTGACATTGAGGTTGGGAGGGGATTGAGAAAGATAGGATAAACTATGTATACTGTATTGGAACAAATGTGAGAGAGAACTGTTTAAAATGTATATATAATTTGATATTATTGTCATGACATGAGTCCAGAACAAAGGCTGCATAGTGTAGTGGACTTAGGGGGAGGGATTGTATAACAATTAAAGAATTTTTCTTTTACTTTTCAAAGAGAAGAATGAACTGAAGGGGAGAGGTGGGCAGGGAGAGAAGTGCAACAATGAATGAATGAAAATAAAAATTCTCTGTAAATCTTAATGAAACACCTCACTTCCTTTCTAAATCTCTCTGGTTTTGCTCATCCTTTTGCAATGCTACTAGGTGTTATAGGTTGTGTTGCTGACCAAATGGCCAATAATTCAAATCCACCAGCATCTCCAAGAGAGAAAGATGGGAAATCTCTTCCCATTAAGATTTACAGCTTTGGAAACCCAATGGAGGGGCAGTATGAGTCATAACTGACTTAATCACAGCGGGTCAGTGAGTCTCACTTCTCATCACATCCATATTCCTGTGAGACCTACCATACTCTCTGGTCTTGCTGCACCATCTCTGTATTGATTTACCCCAAATTTATTGCTTCAGCTTTCCTATTCAACCATCTATTAGAAATCTTCTCTTCTATATAGAGACTTAAAAAAAAAAAAACCAAAAACCAATGCAACCAAAAAAAAACCCCAAACAAAACAAATAACCTTTAAAATAATTCTTAAGATTTTAATTTTTTAATAATTATATGGGTAATAGTGTCTTCCATACTTTGACCAATTACTGTTTTCTCATTGAATCTTTTATTTCCAAATCCAAAGTATTTTGTTTTACCCAGAGGAAAAACTAATAAAGGACAGATTTTTCTTCCCAATGGGATCTTTACCAAGTTATATACCTCTCAGCAAAGTTGGCTACAATATCCACCAAGCACCTAATTAAATCTTCTCATATTTTCAGTTTTATTAATTCAAAATAACTAAGGCCTGGCTACAAGAACAGCCATTCAGTTGGCAATAGGCTAGGTCACTTTTTGAAAATCTCTTTAACTGGAAGTGATTAAAATCATGGAGACTAGATTCTCTGTGTGTGCAGATTTTTTCCTTCTCCTTAAATGGTGATTTGTGTTCTTTCAAAGTTGCCATCATAGAGCAACCACTGTCGCTAGTGCTCTTGTCTTGGCCCTTGGCTTACAAGAAATGGAAACCAGAGATCGCCTCCTCTGGCCAGTGCTGCTCTCTGGAAGGTTGTACTGACCTTTTGGTTCTCATTCAGTATGTTTGCATTTTGTCCAACAATGCTACTCAAGAGAAATGGCATGCCTATAACCTACCGGAGACGTGGCCTCTACAGGATGCCACTGAGGGAACAAGATTTTGCTCTTTTATTTTTTTCACACATTTCAAAGATCTTTTAAAATTACCTGATAGAAATTTTTGGTTATCATTTCACCCCCATGTGAGGCCAAAGAACTGGGAGGTCACGCCCTGCAAATACTGTGTAATCTCATATCCCACCCCAGTCTTTTCTGCCAAGGCCTCTTTTAAAGTCAAGTTCAAAAGCCTTCCTCCTCTTTGTAGCTTTTGTGACACTTTATCAAATCTTTAGTGTACTGTCTTGCATATTATGCAAGGTCAAGAGTGTGTTTGGCTTGTTCTTTAAACTGTAGAATTGCAATAAATGTGTAGAGAAAATATTTAGAAGCCAGTTTGGGATGCAGTTCATTCTCAATAATTAGGATTCTAAAAATCTGCTGTCAAGTCAATGCCAACTGAGAGTGACCCTTCACTGGGGTTTCTGAGGCTGTTAATCACAAGATTTTTCAGACTTTCTTTCTCCAAAGAAGTCACTGTTGGTTTTGTGTACCATCAGGTTAGAACTGACCCACAGCTGACCCCCCAGCACGTTTTCAGCGACAGTAAATCAACAGCAGGAAACTGCCCATTTTTGCCTTGCAGAGGAGCTGAGGGATGGGAGTCTCACGCCCTTGGCATTGCAGTATAGGATCTTACCACTAAACCATCGGAGCTCCCAAAAGGAAACCCTGGTAGATTCAAACAGGTGGAGAATCACAGTCTGTGGATTAGCAAAGCAACACTATAGCTGCAATGTCCAATGAACATCAGTGTCCAGTGAAAATCAGATCAGAAAGCAGGTTACTGGCTGTAGCTGATGAAGTCATGATTAGCATGTAAAACATCAAGATTGCTAGCTTTGGGGGCCATAAATCAAAGCTATCACAAGATTGTGACGTCTCATTCTTCCTCTTAGCTCAGGAGTGATCGCTTCATGCAGGGCGGCTTTAAATGCATAATCACCAAACCATATTCATTGTCAACTGGATCTGCAATCTTAACTGTTACACTTGAGAGCTCTTAGCATTGCATCCATGTATTGAAGTATCTCAATTGGTTGTTGTTGTTGTTAAGTACCGTTGAGTTGCCTGGGACTCATAGCGACCCTATGCACAACAGCTTTGAAGCCTGCCTTACCCTGAGCTATTCTCACTGGCTCTGACACACCTACTACCCTCATTGCCCCAGTTACTGTATCAATCCTTCTCAACCTGGGTCTTCCTATCCTGTGCTGTCTCTCCATCCTTCTGAGCATGATGTTCTAGTCTCCAAGGAAAAATTTGGTTTCACTATCTCCAAGACAGACCTATTTATTTCCATAGTGATCCAAGACTTTTTTCCAGCACCACAACTCCAAGGGCTAGTCTCATGTGGCAACATGCCCAAAGTACGTGAGACAGAGCTTCAACATCTTTGCCTCCAAGGAGTAACTGGATTTCACCCTCTCTAGGACAGAATGTTTGTTCTCCTGGTGGTCCATGGTATGTTACATACTCTTCTCCAGCACTGCAACTCAAAGGCATTGATTCTTCTTCTGTCATCCGTTGTCACTGCCTAGCTCTCCAATTCATAGCAAGCAATTGTGAAGATGATGGCCCGCATCAGGCACACCTTAGTCTCTAGACTGAAATCATTACTCTTCAGCACTCTGGAGAGGTCCCTGGCAGCAGATTCTCCTAATGCAATTCATCTTTTCATTTCTTGACTGCTGGTGCCAAGAATGTGGACTGTGGAACTGAACAACATTGCTGCCTCCTAAAATGGATGAACACTGAACTGTTCTTTGTGGTATCCTCTCTCTCATTGCCATCAAACCAGAATTGACTGATAGCTGGCCTCCCGGTGGGTTTCTGAAGCTATAATTCACATGGGAAGAATTTGCTCATCGTCTGCTGAAGAGGTGCTGCTGGTTTTGAACTGCCAAAAAGGCACAGTCTTTAGGTTAGGAGTGCAGCTCCTTAAAAACTAAGTCGCCGGAACTTCTCATTTTTGTTTTTTCATCCATTCTTAATAGAATTGCTAATGAGGTTAATACAATTCTACTAGGATATTTTCTTTTGTAACATTTTTTATAGTTTAAAGTTTACAAATCTTATTGGTTTCCCATTCAAAGATTTACGCATATTTCATTTTAAGAAATTAATTATAATATTCACACAGAACCAAACTCTTCAAATTTCCTCACTGCGATTCTCATTTTCATTAATTCTTTTGCCCTACCCTTCATAGTGTTCTTAGTCCTAGCCTTGGAAAAATACTCCCCTCTTTATCATATATGGTTGCTTGTTCTAAGAAACAACTACTTCTCTGTTGTTACTGTTCACCATGCAGATCTATCTATTGTTTGGGTGAAAATTAAGCCACAAGGATAAGTACTATTTCAAATTCAATGGCAGGATCAAGTATCATATCCTGGGAGTCTGACCTTGAAATTAAAAGCATTGATGCTTCAAAGTAATTGCAAACAGGATTTCTGAAATTCCCTTAGCATTTTTAAATAAAAATTTAGTTAAATCATTAAGTGAGCTAAGTAGGAAAATATTCTAATGTCTTAAGTGAAGATATTTGTAATTGTATGCATGGATATAAAAGTTAACAAATTTAAATGAGTATACAACTTTTCAATCTATAGCTTTACAATTTACACTCAAGTAAACAAAAATAAATTAATCAATAATTAAAATATTTCCTTAAAGGAGAAGTACTAAGTAATTTTTTTATTCCCTCATATTGTAGCTACTTTTAGAACATAATACTGCATACAGAAGGTTGAGTAATGTTACTGGTTGCCATTATTAATTAGAAACACTCTTTCTGTAGAAATTAAAATGAGCCTAAGTAAAATACTCTAAATCATAAATCAAAATAGCCGGGCATATTAGTTATAAAATTACACCAACAAAATGCAATAACTAAACATTTCTGAGTTCCTGTTTAGAGGACAAACCTAAAAACAGCTGGTAAACAGAGGTATCTTTCTATTTCTGTGTAAAAGAAATAATATGAGGGCAATCATTCCAGAAAATGCACTGAAATGGATAATACTTTACAAAAGAGATCATTCATTTTTTTATATAATTTAGTAGATCAAGTGTCCTTAATATTAAGAAGGTGTGATTAAAAAGGCGTAAAATAAATGTACTACTATGGGTGGTTGGTGTAACACAGATGTGTGGTGTGGGGTTAGAGCTTCAATTCTATAAAGCACGGTTACTTCCAGCTTCAATTGACTCTTTTAATCCTTAAGCACTATGATGTGTTTCACTTCAGGATGTTGTTATGTGCCGTCGAGTCGCTTGCGACTCATAGCGACCCTATGTACAACAGCCCTAAACTCTGCTCTGTCCTGTGCCAATCGCACTGCCTCTGACATACCCATCCTGATTACCCCAGTCACTGAATCAATCCACCTCATAGAGGGCTTTCCCTTCCTGCACTGTCTCTCCACCCTCCCAAACATGATGTCCTTCTGCAAGGACCGGTCTCTCCTTACAACATGTCCAAAGTATGTTAGATGGAGCCTCAGAATCCTTGTCTCCAAGGAGCAGCCCGGTTTAACCATTAAATGGATCTCAGAGGAGAAACTTCAGGATACATACCTCTAAATAGTCCGTGGAGCAGTTTGTGTAAAGTTCTAGGTCAAATGCTAAGAAGGTATAGTTCACAGTGTTGCCACTCGTTGCCTGGATAGTCCAGTTGCAACGCTGGTTCTCCTTATAAGGGTTCGGAAAATGTATACTCTCCAAGATGCCGTACGTTCGATTGACAATCACCACACTCTCACATACTGAAAAAGAGAATCATAATTGTTAAAGTGGGGAGCTATGGTGGCTTAGCGGTAAGGAGCAGCACTGCCAACCAAAACAGCTGCTCTGCTGGAGAATGGTAAGGAGTCTCTTCCCATGCAATGAGTGCTTCTGAAAACTCAATAGAGGGGAAACTATGTGGTAGGTCTCACTTGATGGTACCCAGCAACAGTTGTTAAGAACCACTAGGTTCTTACATATATGTGGTTTGAAATTTTTTACATATATATTACATATAATTATGAAAATCACATATGTCATAATTATTCTAAGAGATATGTTTATTTCCCTTTCTTAAAAAGAAAATCCTACTTTAAATACATGTGTGGTGTTTTTAGTTTGCCAATGCATTTACATATAGTAAAATCTATGAAAGCTAGAATCTTTGATATGGAAACCTGTCCGAGAAGGTAAACTAAAATATTTTCCACTAACAGGAACAACTGAAAAATTATACTGTAACCTTGTTAAACACAGAAAATTTCCAGACTAAAAAAAAAAAATAAGGCAGTCCACTGGATTCTATGCCTCAAAGGTTTTACTTTTTATATGATACAAATGTGAAATAATACTTAATAATAACACTTAAGCAAATTGATAAACTTTAAAACATCATGAAAAGTGAATAACCACGCTAACCTAGACATCATATTCCTGTGAACTGGAGTGGAGCAAAAAATATATCAGTGTTCACAGATTCAATTTGATTTACTTGTTTACAGAAGCATACTAAGCATTCTTTGCTTCTGTTTTTCTACAATATTTTCTCCAATATTTGGAAGGAGCAGAAATTTTGACCTTCAAATTAACAGTTTAAAAAAAGAAAGTACTATGTGAACGCTAAAAATGAATAACAACATGGCTTTGTTCAAGATTCAAAAGTCAGCAAGAAATTCACAACAAAGCCTCCGTTATTCATCCTATTAGTCATCAGAAGGTACCAAGGGGATAGAGGGACCATAAAGGACTTCCAGAGGAATGAGACTCGGAGCTCAATCCAATGGCAGCCTTTTCTAGAGCTGCATTTTCAAGAAGGTCATGCTAACCAAAACCAAACCCATGTCTGCTCTTCAAAGTAAATGCCAAATGCAGTCAAGTTTAAGTCCGTGAACAAAGCACATGCACACTTTTGTTCATTTGTTTCATATTGTCATTGTGATGTCCAATGAGAGAAAATGGGAAAAAATATCATTATGTTGTCTCTGAACAACATGCTTCACAGGTAGATTTCTATGGCATTACTTTCTGACAGGTGATTTTAAGTTTATTGAGAGGTTCTCTTACATTGACTGCCTATAAGGAACAACAAGCTCCCTTTTCTCCACCTCCTCCTTGGAATCGCAAAGCAGCACCCATGTGTGAATGCATCTCCATCCACTCTGGCCAGGCTCGTGTCCATATTGGCAGTGCCTGCTGGGAGCTCGACTGTTTAGAGCATGGCACCAGCCTGACAGCCAGATGCCAAGTGACAAGACCACTGGGGGAGGAAATGACTCCTTCAGCACCTTCTTCAGTGAGGCTGGTGCTGGCAAGCACATGCCTAGGATGGTGTTTGTAGACCTGGAACCCACAGTCAGTGATGAAGTTTGCACTGGCACCTACCACCAGCTCTTCCAACCTGAGCAGTTCATCTCAGGCCAGGAAGGTGCTGCCAATAACTATGCCCAAGAAGATAATTGACTTGGTTCTGGATCGTATTGGAAAACTGGCTGACCAGTGCGCAGGTCTCTGGGGCGTCTTGGTGTTTCAAAGCTTTGGTTGCGGCAATGGTTCTGGCTTCACCTCCCTGTTGATCTATCTGTTGATTATGGAAAGAACTCCAAACTGGAGTTCTCCATTTACCCAGCCCCCCACCATGTTTCCACAGATGTGGTCGACCCCTACAACTCTGTTTTCATCATTCACACCACCCTGGAGCACTCAGATTGTGCCTTCAAGGTAGACAATGAGGTTATCTATGACATCTGCTGTAGAAAGTTGATATCAAATGCTCAACCTACACTAACCTGAATAGTTAATAGGTCAAATTGTGTCCTCTATCACTGCTTCCTTTAGATTTGATGTTTCTCTGAATATTGATCTGACAGATTTCCAAACTAACCTGGTGCCCTATCCCCTCATCCACTTCCTTCTGGCCGCACATGCCCCCACAATCTCTGCTGAGAAAGCTTACCATGAAGGGCTCTCTGTAGCAGAGATTACCAATGCTTGCTTTGGGCCAGCCAACCAGATGGTAAAATGTAACCCTCGCCATAGTAAATACATGGCTTGCAGCCTGTTGTACCATGATGTAGTTTCCAAAGATGTCAACGCTGCCATAGCCACCATCAACACCAAATGTACTATTCAGTTTGTGAATTGGTGCCCCACTGGCTTCAAGGTTTGTATTAATTACCATCCTCCCACTATAGTGCCTGGTAGACACCTGCCCAGTATATGACAAGCTATGCAAGTTATGCATGCTGAATAACACCACAGCCACCGCCGAGGTCGGGGCTCGTCTGGACCACAAATTTGACCTGATATATGCCAAGCGTGCCTTTGTTCACAGGTACGTGGGTGAGGGGATGGAGGAAGGAGAGTTTTCTGAGGCCCATGAGGGTATGGCTGCCCTTGAGAAGGATTATGAGGAGGTGAATGTGGATTCTGTTAAAGAAGAGGATGAGGAAGAAGGAGAAGAATACTAAAGTTAGAATGTCACAAAGGTGCTGTTGTTACAGGAAAGCTTATTCTGTTTTACACATTGAAATGTTGTGGCCTGATCAGTCCATTTGTATGCAGCAGTGAACGCACGCCGCCGCCAGCCGGGGGAGCGCACCCCGCCGCCCAACGGGGGAAACGCACGCGGCCGCCCGCCAGACTGGGGGAACGCCGCCGCCAGACCGGGAACGCCGCCGCCAGACCGGGGAATGCCGCTAGAGGGACCCGGAAGAGACCC